ATCCCCACCCCTCTTACTTCACCCCTCAACGCCCCACGCGGTCGCTCCTCCCCCGCCCCTCCAACCTCAATTCCTTTACACACAAAGCCCCACGCTCGGCCCCGGCCGGGCCCCCGCTAACCCACACTCTGCAGACACCGTCCTCCTCCACTGTGGACGGCCCGAGGGGAATGGAGAGAAACCGGCAGTGTGAGAAAACGTTTAGGAAAGTGACAAAGGATAAACGTCTGATGCCTTTACGTATCTGTGAGGTTGATAGTGATGTCCGAAGGGTACTGAAAAATGTTGATGTTATTGAATTTCGTCTATTTAGGATGATGATCTTTCACGAGTCACAAACTGTTCATTATTTATTTACGACATTAAAATTACAAAGAGTTTGTGCAGAAAAATTAACGCAATATTTTTCGTCATGGTTCGACAGTGTGACACAATAAGAATTAACTGAAAGGAACCGGGCTTGTAAACCATTTGTTGGATTGCATCGACCCATAATGGAGAACAGGGATGGAACAATAATATTGGAGTTGAGGCTTTAGATAGGCTAGTACTGGGGACTGGGAAGAAACCTGGCCCAGACCTAGGCTAGTGCTAGACCTAGGAGGGCTGTAACGACTTTGCCTTGCCGACAGAATAGAGCGCGTGCCCGCGTGAGTGGGCGGAGTAGGAGTAGGGTGAGTAGGAAGTGGCGGGGGTAGGTCCACACCTGTTTGGCGATATGTCAAACGCCTGCCTAGGGCGCCCCCAGGCCCCGGGCACTAGGTCAGGTGGGGAACCCCAACCACCCCAACCCCTACACCCAGGAAACGCAGTTGTTCTCGAAACAAGAAAAATATTATTATTCTGTTATGTTTTTTTGGTCTTGTTACACGGAGAAGATTTTCTTAGTCGCTTAAGTGCTTCTTTGAGGCCACACGCACTGTTTCCCACACATTCAAAAAAAAGAAAAAGACCTTCTCAATCCAGGCACAAAATTGGCGCTATCGCTGCCTACTCATTCCCAGTATATCTACTCTGCTGATTTTACTCAGACCTCGACGCCTTCAGTGTGTGTTGCCCCATATTCAAGTGCCGAGGTCGTGGCGTGCCAGAAAGGAAATCAATCCACTTTACTTCCGGTGTGTGAGGACCGGAAGCGGCCACCACCGCCCCGACCTCATTCACTGCGCGGCTCAACGACTGCCTAACCTGGTTTACATCGACTAGACATGAGCAGCATCAGGACTGCCGCGCGACGCCACACCGCACCCTAAATACGGCAGCACTGCCCTTCGGTCATTGGAGCTCCGAACCGCCGTGTTGGCTATGGGCTCTGGCGCCGGCCTCTGAACGTCGTGTTGGGCCCTCCCCACCAGCCTTCAGCGGTGCAAAAGGCTCGTGTAGTCTGAGTGGCACTGCCCCTCGCGTCGCCCGTGCCGCAGGTTTACGACACCTTTCGACCGAGTGAATAGGGATCGTCCAGAGAAAGTGCGTCCGTTTTTCACAGGTTCATTCGGCCAATTATGAGAGCTGAGCGCCTGCGAGACTCCGCATAGGCCAGCCCGCAGTACACGCGTGCGCTGCAGGCGATGTGTTGCCTACCTATCAGGCGCTATGAGAGCTAGGAGAGGGTTGGTTAAACCAGGTTAAACCTGGCCGTTTCGTCACGTTGAACGACGGACGTACCTTCTGGATGATCGCATAGGCAGGAAGAAGGACGCCCGTGCCGTGCAGCGTTGCCTACCCCGCCGGTCACAGGCGCCCCGCACATTACCGCCGCCGCGACCGCCATGCGCAGACATTCGCTTGGAGCGCAAAATCTTGGAAACCGAGCACCAACCTTTATCGTACGTAAATGTTTACTTACACAAGCACAGGTACTACCCCCCCCTCGGCCCCCACCCCCACCTAACCCCGCTAAATGAGTTTGCGCGCTCCAGTTGCTCTCCCTCGCTCCTTCTCGCTCGCTCTCCACGTCTCCTCTCTACCAGGGGCAAAGCGGCGCTGGTAAAGCAAAGAAGGGGGAAGGGGGAATTCTGGAAATATAATTATGCAATTTCCCCTCTAGTTGTGCAGACAGCATTACTTCCGGTCGTCCCACCGGGCGCGGCGGGGAGGGCTACGGGGGAGGGGAGACGGGGTGTCGAGAGGGGTAGGGGGAATGGAAGGCAGCAGCCAGGAAATTGGCACCGAGGATCCACGACGCAGCAGCGCCGGGAGAAGAGAGAGAGAGAGTTGAGGAGGGAGAGGGGGCCTCGGATTACGCCAATTTCACCCGCATCCTTCCTGTCAAGGAGCCGGCCCCCTCGCTCGCCCCGAAGCACCGGCCGCTCGAGCCAGGTGCGGGGTAGCGCGGCACACACCGCTACCCCAACAGTACACACAACAGTACACAAGCACACTCTTGGAAGTGTGTACGTTACCTCAGGTAAGCGGGGTAGCGCGGCACACACCGCTACCCCAACAGTACACACAACAGTACACAAGCACACTCTTGGAAGTGTGCACGTTACCTCAGGTAAAGCACACACTTCTGAGTGTGTACTGCGATAAGCACACTGTTATATGTGTGCTCTGTGGAAAGTACACTCTTCCTTGTGTGCAATAAGTTGTTCGGTTTACGTGTAAATCAGCAGCGCGGGTGTTCGCGAAACACATTACGCTATAATTATCAGGTGCTCTAATTTTTGTGCCTTTGTTTATGTTTCCTCCCGCCCCGCCTCGCTCGCGTACTCACCGGTCGGGGTCGGGACATGGCGCAGCGGTGCAGCCGGGGTCCCGCCGGTCCCTCTCGCCCCCTCACGAGGAGGTGAAGGAGGCCCCCCGCTCGGCTGCTGCCGGGCGCATGGTGCGGGGGGACGCGCCGGCCGGCCTGCCTGAGTGACCCTTGGTATCGGAGAGGGGCTGACTGGAAGTGGACGGTCACGACGGGGTGCGTGCCCACGGGGCTTCAGCTGGCCTGGACGATGACTACCGCGCGGGGGGCTGCTCGGCGAGGCTCTGGGGGGCCGGCCGGGCCCGCACCTGGGCATGGGCCACGGGCCCCTGTCCTGTCAGTGCCCGGGGCCTCCGGGGCCCGGCCGCCCCCGCCACCAACCACTTCGATTGGTCAATGTTAGACCGCCGCTGCCGCCGCGGCCGACCATACCGACCCGTATGTGGTGGTGGCTCACACCCCTAATCCATTCTTTTTGCCACATAGTTTCAGACAGTTTTCCCCATTTGCTCTTTTCTTTGCAAAGGTATTTGACAGGGTGCCAGAATAGACTACTGTAGTTCCACTATGAGAACTACGGGCTGTCCATGCAGTCTTTTGACTGTAAATTAAAGCAAAGGGTTGAAAGGAGACAGAATACCTTCAAGTAGCGAGGTGTGTGGCCACCGTATGGGACAGAAACTTGTCAAGATGGCATCTAGTGATGTCCTCTCATGACATTGTTTCTTTCAGTCAAGATGACACCCCAGCACCCCAGCCACCTCCACTACAACATAAACCAAAATAAAAGGTTAACTTTCTAGTGGTCAAATTAAACTTGAACGTTGAGTTTTCAATGTATTTATTTATTTTAAAAAATAATAAAATACATAAAAACGCCATGTCCAGAACAGTTCACAGTATGTTTATTTTGGGAGATTGAGCTGGTGTGATCACAACTAGCAAGAGCTGTGGAACAGAATTGAGTCTTGAGTAGCATCGCTCTGGCTGCACATAGTCAAAGATGACTGTGGAAGGACTTTTAACTCTAAAATCAAAACATCCAGGATTCCAGTAATGAGCTGTGGCAGTTTAATCAAATAGGTTGCCCTTTGGTAATGATCCTTTACATCACATCGATATTTTCAAATGTTAGTAATAATATTTTTGTAAGTGAAAATAGATGAAGACAAACCATAAGTGCTCAATTTATTTTCTGGAAAAATATTTAAGAGTTATGATTTGAAAAATTGGAATGAGGTGGTGAAAACAATTGATTTCCTAACATGCAATGACAGAGATGTTTCTGAATTCAGTGATCAAAAGTACTATCACAAATGAGCTCTTGAAGAAAAGACAGTTCTGTGTTGTACAAACACATGATTGAATTCTTAATTCTGATATAAGACAATTATTTAAAATGAAAATTTTACGTTCCAAGAAGATAACACTTTCCTACATTTCCATTTGAAGCTACCATTAACTGGAAAAACGTACAGGTTACTTTATCACAAATTAAATAGTCATAAATAAAGGTTGCATCAATATATGACGAACCAAAAGTCATTATTTCGATGCAACCATTTCCAGACGAGAGAGCTTTGAGCTCTTAACCCCAAATCCTGAAAATATTAAAACTGATGCCCTAATATCTGACCATTCAGATAACTGACAAAAGGAATACAAAAGCTTTAGAATTTCTTCAAAGGAACCAAATTGTTTTTTTACACGATAAATGATCCAAATCCAAAGGTACGCTTCATTGCTTCCCAGTAGTACCTATCCCAATTTTCTCGGGTCCCATCCGCTTCACTGAAAAAAAGAGCAGAAAAATATTAGATACAATATACAGCTTACTAAAAGAGGTACAATTGTGATAGGTAATAGCATACCTCTGAGGCACTCCTGTTTGAGTAACTTTAACACTAGTGTGGTCATCTTTTTGTTCTATCACCATGCTGACAGTAGAGTAATGCTCATCCGGCCAGCGTTTGCTTCTCCAGCGCTGAACAATCTTTTGTTCGGGAACCTAATAAAAAATGCAAGATTGGAATGATTCGTAACATAGGTTACACTATGATTTATTTAAATTTAAATTGAGCGAACAATTAAAAACTCACAATTTCAATGAACTCTCCATGAATGTTCCCTCCAAAGAGTTCAAACTTGCCACCCTTCTTTACTTCAAGTTTTGCTGGACCTTGAGTAAAAGCTTGCACCATCTTCATAAAAAACCAATTCAACAAAAATTTATGAAAACATCAATAGTATAATCATTTTTAGGTCAAAATACAACAGTTGAAGGAATTATTTCTTTACCTCAATAACAGTCATAGCATTGTAGAACTCCTTGGCAGTACACTGGAAAGCCTGGGTAAATGTTAGTGTAGATGTCTCTATTTTGCAGCCTGAGGTGTTGCTCGCAGGCTTAGGCACACTATTCATTTGCATCTATAACACAAAATAAAAGAATAAAAAACACAGGTAAGAGTACATGAAATTCACATTACTTTATCAAATCAAATGATCAAAGGCACAAATTTGCCAAACCTTTAAATTAAATCCACTTGACAGACTATTCACAACACAATCTTTAGTATTAATTGTACCAGAATCACTCTTCTTTGGTAAGATCATGCCCTTGGAAAATTCTGAAAGAGAACTCTATTTAGAAAAATTAAAAATATTTGTATCAATTTTGTAGAAGGCAGACACTGCTGTTTACCTTCTCTCAGTGCATCAATGTATTTTCCAAGTTGACCTCTTATTTTCAAAGTGCCAACACTCATCATAAAGCTCTTTACTTTGTATCCCTGGTCAGTATTTTTATCTATGGTGACATTTACCTAATGAAATCAGTACGTTAGATTACTTATACACAAATTATAATTGAAAAAATCACAAATGATATTTAATGAGTAAACAGAGGAAACTTACATCAACTTCATCTACTTTGTTCTCTTCACTCAGGTTAGGGATGTGAACTTTTCCTTCTACATCTTCATCACTGTCGTTCATGGATCCTTTCCACTTCAGAACAATATCCCATTCATAGAAAAATATCAGCTTTCCTTTCCGATTATTGGCAACAGCCTCACCTTCCAGTTTCTCCACCTCAGTGAGCTCACAAGAAGCATCATCGTTTTCCACCTTGAAACCTTTCAGAAGCTCTCTCAGTTTATCTTCTGACCACTGACAAGCATTTTTCTCAGTCCTGGAAAGAAATTTGAAGGAAATAAGGTATATAGAGTTTTCAATTCCAAGTACATCAATGAAATAGCAACTTGCTATGTACCAGTGCCAATTGTTCACATTGGTTGCATCTGGGCGTTCTTCCACAATCCAACGAGGATCACCTTCCCCCCACTTGGCCATCACAGAAGCACACTGAAACCAGACAATAGAGTCGGTAAGATGATAAAACTTGTAAGGAAAAAGCTTCACAGGTAACATCCCAATGAACCATTAAAGTCCAAACAAAGGCGACTCAGAAAAAAACACCATGAAAACACATGCTATCCCGAAAGGAAAGCTCACAAATTTTTAGACGAAGTGACAGCAGTGCCAAATAAGGGCAGATTATGGGAATCAGCAGCGTGACCTCGGAAGAAATTATTGAGGTTACCACAAGCCCATGACCGGCGAAAACTTACGGTCATCCACGTATTTCAATATCGGAGGGCCGTGCTAGGCTGCTGGACTAAGGCTACGTGACACTAAAAACGCAAAACCTTCATGGGGTCCATTCAAGGATTTACCACGCACTGAGAGTAAAAATACGCAATTGTTTAGACTGCGGTGAAGGACTGGCAAGCAGAAGAACAAGTTTACTCCAGTCACTTACGCTGAAGGTGTGAAGATTTTACAGACTCGATGAAATATTGTACCTATGGTTTCAGAAGGGATGCGAAGAGCTTAAATCACTGACTTGATCAAGGCACAAAATTAAACGAAAACTTCCAAAAAGAGCGTGGATAGCAGACCACTGTCGCACACTGCACGGTGTCGCAGCCGTGTTAAAGAGCGTTATGAGAAAATTCTAGAAAACACAACAGCCGAACGGGGCCTTGTTGATACGAAGGAAAGGCAAGCAGAAAGCTTTGCCGTCGGGCAGAGAATCGTAGGGGCAGGGGTGAGGTAGGGGAAGGGATGAGGGATGTTTACGGGGTGGGCAGTTATGTTCGTAGAGTTGAGATTTGAGAATGGCTGGAAAAGGGAAAGGAAATGTCAGAATTGAAAATGAAATCGAGAAGAGTAGAGAGGAATCTGATTGGAAAAGGCTCATAGAGCTTGCGGAGCAGCTGAAAGCAAGATCACCTAATCATGGTATTGTTATATCTGTGATAAACTCGTGATTCATCAAGTTTGCACCTAACCTGTTCTGATACATAGAGTCTTGTCAATAAATCCTATCCTCGAAAAACTTGCACATGACAACAGTTTGAAACTGTTTATATACACAAGTTGGTAAATTAAAGACCGTTTTAAATTTTCATTAAGGATTCTTTGTGGCATACAATCACCAAGTGGTTATAGGCCTATGTCAACCTGAGAATTATAAATATTTTGTTTACACTCTCTTTAAAAATTATTGTAGCATTAGCCTTGCTTTTATTTGATTCTGTGCGCTGCTGTGTAGAATCCAACTAGTAACTTTGTATGTCTCCTATACTCATGGTTTTAGAATTGTAATTGGTTAATTTGGTGGTTTTGTATTTTGATTTATTATCATGGTTTCCTTCCTATTCTTAAAACAATGTTTTATTTTCAGACTGCCTTGCAAACTTCCTTATTGGTGAGGGAAAGCTGGAATCCTTTCTGGAGGATGTACCTCCTGTTGAGGCTAATGTTGCCAAGGCAAGATTTGGTCTTATTGAAGTGAAACGGTTTTTAAATGTGGCCGTCACCAAAGTAGGTTTCATATGGATCATTCACTAAATGTATCCACCTTGGCAGGCCAGGCCCTACTGTTCTAACAATGAGTACTGGCCTTCTGAGGTGTCTATATTTAGCAAATGAACTCAACTAGTAATAATTTTACAACTTTACCGCCGCTCATTGTATTTTATTACACAGTAATAATTTTTTCTACAGCAGCCAGATGAATCTCTTGATGCAAACCTTCTTCTTGGGAAGCTTAATTATGCTATGGGTTACTATGATGCCGCTCTTCAACATTACAATGCTGCAAAACTACAATCGTTGGGGGAAAAGCCCCTTGCATTACGTAGTCTAAGAATAGTCGCAGAATCTTTTGCAATTAAAGGTGTGTTGCACAACTATTTGCCAAAAAGCCTTATCTCTGTGGTCTGAAGAACATGAAATTCAAATTTGATACTTTTTGATTTCAGGAATGTGTCTTGAAAAAGTTCCCCCATCTTCATCATCAAAATTCAAGCAGGCTGAATGGGAAGAACAAATGCTTCAGTGTTATCAAACTGGTGGAGATCTTGCCCTCTTGTACCTTCAAGATGCAGATAAACTTAACCAATTGGGTACCATGACTACAAGTGGTTTGTTAACTTATTTTATATGACAGTAATCATATCACTCATTTGGGTAAATGCAACACTGTATTATGTTAATATTTAATATTTGCAGGTTCTCATTCACCACAACCGCCCAATCCTCAAAAGCAAATTGGTCCCATTCTAGAGAATGCAATTCAACGGTCTCCCTTACTCTACATCAAAGCAGGAAAAGTGCAACTGGCTGTTAATCGTTACAGGTTGTTAAATATTTATTTTCGATTATACTTTGATTGGTTTTTATTTTACCTAATGCTTACTTGTTGATCCTTTTTTTAGAGCCATATTAGGTGCAGTAGAATCAAGTTTCACACAAGCTTTACGACTAGTCCTCACACGACGACTAGCAGAAGTTATCCTCCGAGGTGTTAGTCCTGCTGAATACCCATGTCCTGTGAACACATCAGAACCAAGTACATCAATTTTAAATTTTGAAATTGACTTCTTCATTTATATATAAAAACTGATGTTCGAATTTTATTTTGATACTCTTAAACTTCTTCACTCACAGGCTACAGGAGGGGTCATCCATCTGCAAGTAAAACTGACAGCCCATGGAAACCTAAAAAGTATGGGGGACACAATCTGTTTGTTCCAAGAAATGAAAATGAAGAAATAATCTTACTTCTGTTGATAAGGTGCGTTTAGTTTTATTTCATTATACTCTTCTTGATTTGACACTCTAAGCTCATATAAATTTACTTTTTATGTTGTCTTTCTCAATTTTTCAAGTGAGTCTATGGCTGTGAGAGAAGCAGTTTTGAGTCAGTCTGCTGAGTTTAAAGAAGCACGAATTAGAGCTTATAGCAATGCATCTGCAGTTTATGACCTTCTCACAGTTGCTTTAGTCCGTTGGGGTCAAGTAGATCTACTTACAGAGGTGAGAGTATGCCGGGGTTAGGTATTTTCTTATTGTTCTGGAGAAGTCAATTTAAATCACTACCTTAATCTGATTTTCAGTCTTTTGAGAGAGCTATGAAGTTTTCTGCCAATGAACCTTTAGCATGGCTACAGCATGGGTTGTGTTTGATTACTTCTGGCAAACATGCACACGGACTTTCAGTGCTCCGTGAAGCAACAAATCAAGATCCCTCAAGTGTAAGCCCCTGTCTTGTTGCTGCCCGAGCGTGCTATGAACATCTGAATTTAGTAAGGTTTCAATATTGTTTGAGAAAGTGTTTATTATAAAATAATACTAACCCATTTTTAATCGCTGATTTTTTTAAAAAATTGTTTTTCTTTGTTTTTAAAATCATTTTTAGGTGTCTGAAGGTTTAGATTGGAGTCAGAAAGCTTTGGAAAGAGAACTCACAAGACCTCAGCACTTAGAATCACGATGTTACTTGTATTTTGGCGTAGGCTACAGCTTGCAGGCTGCAAATACTCACTTACGGAAAGAGAAAGAAGAACTTAACAGCAAAGCACTACAGTCATTTGCTAGGTACAGTATGTGTATTACTCATGGTCTTGTTAAAAAAACTCCTTCTTGCACATATCTTCCTAAACAATAATCATTTTTATTGTACCAAATTTCAGGGCTCTTCACATTGATCCGAATGATCATTTATGTGAATATTACTTGGCTTTCCAAAAGGCAAATGGGTGTAAAGTTCAGGAAGCAATACGGCATGTTAAGTCTGCGTTGCAACTGAGAGCAGACCATGTACCATCACTTCATCTTTTGGTCTTGCTTTTGTCAGCACAAAAACAGCATCAGGAAGCTCTTACATTGGCACAAGCTGTGTTGGAAGAGTACCCTGATAACTTAAACATAATGTATGTCAAAGCACACCTTGAACTGGAAGTTCTTGGTGGTGAGGTATGTTTCCAATTTTCTCATATTAAAAATTAGATTTACTTTAATCTCTACTATTTGCCCTTTCATTTATGTGCTCCTATATTTTTCAGGCTGCTCTTTTAACAGGCAAGAAAATGTTGGCTGTGTGGAAGAATTTGTATGAGGATCAAACATCAAATGAGTCACTGGAGCAGTCAGACAGACGGAGTGAAACACGTAGTGTATTCAATCTCTATCCATCTGGCATGTCTGATAAAGATTCAAGTATGTGAAGTTAAAGCATATGGTTTGGCTAAGTGTAAACAAAAATAAACCCCATTTGTTTTTTCCTGTTGCCAGGTTCTCTTCATGCTCATTCCCTAGCAGCATCTCGGGTTGAGCAGGCCTTGTCAGAAGTAGCATCTACACTGAGTACTTTTACTCCACGTCCTGGACCTCACCGTTCATGGATGCTTCAACTTCATATTTGGCTCCTCTTGGCAGAAATTTATCTATCAATGGATCAGCCAAGTTCAGCTATACTTTGCATTCAAGAAGCTACAAACATATTTGCTCTCTCTCACCATATCATGTACACTGTAAGATTTTTATTGAACTAAAGAGGATAAATTTCTCTAGTCTTTATTTTACAGAATTTTAACTACTACTTTATTTCAGAGAGGTCTTCTTCATGAACACAAACAAGAATTTGTTGAGGCCAAACTGTGTTATCAAAGTGCTCTAGCTGTTCACCCTACTCATATCAAGAGCATGCAGCATTTGGTAAGTCTTCTAAAACGTTCCTGCAATTTAGTAATGGGATTTGAATTGCCTTGGGAGCAGAGCATTGTACCTAACTTAACTAAACATGTCATTCATTAGTTAGCGTTTATTTGTGTGTTAGGTCACCGTGTGTTGAAATAACACTTAGCAATTTCTCCCAAAAGATTAATGTTAGTAGACAATATTTTAGACTTGCACTGGAAAACCACTGAAGAAACACAAATAACAATGAAACTATGTATTATTTCTTAAAGTTACATATCTCACATTTTTCAGCTGTTACATTACGTTCAAAAAACTGAGTAAAACTTTTTGTGCATGTCAATAACATTACCCATATTCTAGTTTCGTTAAGTTACTGGGCCCTGCTTGCGTCATGTTTCCTCATTTTCTAATTGGGGTATTCTGTGACCACAACTTCAGCTTCCGACTACGATATGAGATGACAATTAAATAGGTTTTGGTGTGATTTAAACAAAATCTAACTTTTTTTTAAAACAAATTTCTAGGGACTAATTTATCACTACCTTGGAAGCCATCGTATTGCAGAGAAAACACTACGTGATGCTGCTCGTATTGATCCAACTTCCCATCTTACATGGTTTGTGTTTTCAACGGGTGTTCATGAACTTCTCATTTATCCAAGCTCATTGATCAAAATTTTCCTTGAAACATAAAATTGTTTTATTCTTCTCCAGGTATAATTTGGGAAAGGTGCTTGAATCTCTTGAAGAGTTTGATGCAGCAACTGACTGTATGGCCACAGCTCTAGAAACAGAAACAACCAGCCCAATTTTGCCGTATTCTACAATTCCTCTTACTTTTGACTGAGAACCACTCAGTCAGCAATGTGTGAGTAAATCCCCAAAAGGTTAATTTTACCCTCTTTTGAAATGGATGTCAAATGCTTAAAACACCTAATTTAAATCCCTTCATACAATGAAAATGATCAGGGGCTGGAAAGAGCGGAGTTTGCAAAGTACTGTAGGTTCAAATAAAGGAGATGATACCATTTACGTTTTTTTTGGGCTCACTTAAAACAGTCTTGTTATTATATTTTCTTTATTCTAGTCATTGACAATTATGAATTATGTGCAGCTCATTCATTGGTTCCTGTTGTTTTGTTTTCGAATAAGTAACCTTACCGTAATTTTGGTGTAAGCAAATTGATTTCAGTTACACATCTACATTAAGTCTGCATTTCCTGTTAAATTTTTATTTTATTAACTCCTTCACAGCTTTAAACATGGTCAGAGCTTTCACACTATTTAAATATTTTGACTCTATTGTGGCTCAGTCTCTTTTTCACTCTTCCAACTACATCTTACATCTATAGTCTTTTTAAACCCAATCTATGTTGAGGGTAAGAATTTTGCCCAACCGTAAATTTCCAATTTCAGGAGATGTGCTTGTCAGTTTTATCACTAATGCCCTCTCCATTCCCTATCCCAACTTTAGTTAGTGTTTTTGATAAAAAATATGCTTTTTTGTCAGCAGTACAGTATCTAATTAAACTCTGCATTAATCATTGACAAAATTCTAATTTTTGAGACTGTTTGCACACTAGGTGTACATTCCTTCTATTTTTTTTTTTTTAGTCAGGTGCTTATTAACACATTCCTTATCTGCGTTGTGTTTTATTTTTTTACTTCAAAATTAATTCTTGGGAAAAATGTTATTTTTAACTTAATCAACCTGACTACCTACTGTTACTATGTATTCTACCAGTAGATAGTAATGGAACTGAAGATAATTGATGTGTGGGTGATTGATTATTTATATCATTCTGTGCCCTGTTCAAGGGCTTTATATTTTATTTTATCTATCTTTTTATGACATACATACTTGATCCAGTTGTCAGTTGCCATCATGATTAACAAATCAACAGCTCCCTCCTAGGGAATGCATTATATACAGTATGTCTCTGAAAGATACTGTCTGTTTTGAGCTTTTCCACAGACCGTTTTCAACAGATGATCTACAGTCAATAAAACATAAAATCAATTGTTTCAATGGCTGAATTATGCAAATGCCGGCTCAAACAGTCATCTGAAACCATTAATGTACTATATTTCAATCCGATTTTGTTCCTTCATAGCTGCCAAAGATGTGCTTCAAGAAAGCTCAAAACATATAATGTCTTTTAGAGGCGCACTGCACATAATGTATCTTTTAGAGACCTGCCATACATAATGTATTTTTTTGAAGGGAGCCGACGAAATAGTAATATGTTTTATACATTCCTAGATTTTTCAAGCATTCTCTTGTGCTGCTTTACTAAAAATTCTAATTTTTATGGTGGTCTGATAAACAACTATGAAAAGCCTTGGTTTAAAAAAAATCATATTGATCAAAGTTTTATCTCTATATAGAGTTCTGTTTGTGAAAACTGTTTACCTCTTTACATTGTCACATGATTGTTTCACATGTGACTATACATTTTTTAAAGTAAGTGCAAACATTGATACTCTCATGTCATGACAGTTTCTTTAGAGTAAGAATTGTTTATACCTCATCAAAAAGAGTTAGTCAATGTTATTTGTAACTTTTTCACCTGTCATGCACTAGCACCAGCTTAAAAAGGTTAAACTCAGTGGTCTTTTCATTTTTTTAGCGTTCATGTCCCCAGTCATCTGTGTTTCATGTTGCCCTGTTTCTGTCTAGATTCTTGATTATATATATTTTTTTTTGTATTTTGCTTGTAGTTTACTCTATCAGTTCTCACAACACATGGATTTGATGTTCTATATTTTACTGAGACTATGCAACATAGTTTTCAGGTAGCCTTTATGTTTTTGCCAGCATAGTGTTGTAGGTTTCCCTATTTCCAAATGTGGACTGAGTAGTATATCACAACTAATTATTCCTTGTGACAATACCATCTTTGATTCTCTTTCCTAGAAAGACATAATGAAAACATCTTTGACAATTGTTGATGCCCCTAGAGCAAGTGTTAAGTTTTATCCCTAATTGTAGGAAACATTTACAAATATATCCAACAAAGATTGTTGTCTGTTAGACGTTTGGTAGGTAAACCTAAAACAGAATAACTGATCCTCATTGGAAGGGAAGATGACCTTCCTTTGCTTTAAACGGGAGAAATGATGGATGGTTGTAAGAGAACCTTCAACTTCTGATATTTTTTAAGTTATCCTAGTTGGGGTTTTCAAATGATGTTCCATTAGTACTGGAGTTGATTGTAAAAATTATAATGTAAAGGAAAAATGTTTGTTAATTGTATTATACTGTTAAAATGTTGTGGTATATCTAGTTATCAAATGAAAGTTGTAATTATTCTCACTCTAGTAGTGCTCAGAAATGTCAAGTTTTGATGGCATTTCTAATTTATTTGCTAGCTTTGGCATAAATTTCAAACAAGTTTAGAACTGCTTTTATAAGTACCTACTCTCCTTCCCAGAAAGTACTATTTGACTCACTGCTTAGCTATAGAAGTATTGAGTCTTGCATAGCCTTCTAAATTTGATGGACTGTACAGTGTCGTGTTAGGGCTACGACACAGCAGTAAGTATGGGCTTTTGCGTACTCGCTCCCCCCGTAAGGCGCCATGGCCCGTGGAGTAGGCAAACCCACGGCGCTGCTGTTTCTTAGCCCTGACTCACGGTACGTGCAAAAAACGACGGTCCACTTGTATAAAATTACCAATATTTCCCTAACTGTAAGGAAGGATGCTGTACTTCCTTTCTAAATTCTTTTAATCCTATATTTTTCTATGATTTTGGTTCCTTCTTGCAGAATGGACTACAAAGTGTGTAGAAGTAGATTGTTAGCCCATTGCTTTTGTGCCTTCCCATCTTATTTCAAACATAAGGTTGAACTGGAGGAGATAGTTTTTCATTTCCTTACAGTGCCATAACATGTCAGGAATAACATAGCTTTTGACATGACCTAGTTATTTTTATTATTACTTTTCATGTCAAAATAGCCCTTAATATCACAGTATTATTAATATTTAGTTGGGAAATATGTATTTTCCAGCTAAGTACAAAAGGAGGGCATTTCCAAAAATGTGGTTGAACCCCCCCCCCCCCCCCCCCCCCCTCATTTTCTCCTTTACTTTTTGGACTCTCTATTCCGTGTCATTTATTTGCCAATTCTGAACATGTCCCATGTCTTTACACATTTTTACTGTGACGTGATAGTTAGCGGAATTTATGGAACTTGTAGAATAATGACTGTCTGGTTACTTTTTTGTATATTTTGTTGCTCAATTTTAAAATGAGTTTTTTGCTTTTGTTGTGTTTTTATTATGATGCTTGTAGTTTTTTCCACAGGGATGAAAGGTGCACCCTTATTGTAATGGTGGTTGGGTGTAAACAAGAAATTTTCCTGTTTTTGTTTGTTGGTGAAATTACTTAAAATTAATCAATTTTTATCCCATATTGTTTTCAATTTTTAGTTTTGACAGATTCAACTGTGATGTAGATCAATTTATGCAATACCGTATTCAAGTTGGAATTTCCACCAAACTTGTGTTCTGTACAAATGATTTATAACTGTCATGTCTGAGGGAACATAGCCGTGTTTCCCTCATCAAGTGACTTCGTGTTGTATTTGTGTTAATTCTTGTATGAGTGTGGGTGTTTATCTTAAACTTTTCAATAAAGTTATTGTCGTTACCCTGCGTTCGTTTGTTGTACTTTCGCGCGGCCCAAGAAATATCAGTACGCAAGCACTGTGCCA